TTTTACTTTACTTAACTATTTCCATTTATTGCTACTTGTATACTTTTACTCCACTGTACACTATTGTACTTTTAACTCCTCTACATGTATTTAACAAAATGAGTTACTTTACATATTCACATTATAAATTAATACAACATTGTAGTGCCGAGAGAAGGGAGACGGAGGCGGTGCATCGGAGGTGCAAATCTCTCTTTATTGGGGAGCAGAAATCGACATGCTGTCGGGTCGAAGGCACAGGAGACAAGAGAAAGTGAAAGGGACACACACACTGTAGGTACCCCGGAGGTACCGTCAACATATATGTCCGGGCGGAAACAATACCCCCAACCTGTAGTTCCATGCGTGAATTATGTACCCTAGTTAAATAGTGGTCACTACACAAGCCCCCCCAGAATTCAACCATGGACACAATCCCCGCGTCCGGGAGGAAGCACCACAGGGGCCGAGGAGGGCGGGCCATGGAACGGGCCGTCGTCAGGGAGCCGCAGGAGAGGGTCGCGTCGTGGGGACAGGCGTGAAACACCCGGAGGTCCCCAGCAGGGAGGAGCGCTGCCCGGCCGCAGGCGAAGGCACAGCGGCGGCGGGCACGAAGTCCTCGGGAGGAAGGAGCCGTGTCCCCGGGAGGAGGGAGACGTGGACAGGGGAGAGGCCAGACGGGGCGCCGTCGAGGCGAACCGTGAGCCGCGGTTAGAGGTGAGGCCAGGCAGGGTCCCGTAGCGCGCCACCCACGGGCCGATGAAGGCATGGGCGACGTCCGGAACTGCTGAGGCGAGGGAAGAGGCGAGACGGGGTCCAGAAGCGCGTCACCCACGGGCCGAAGCAGCCGCGTGTGACGTCCGAAACCGCCGTCGAGGTGGTGATAACAGCGAGAGGGTCCACACGAGGCCGACCAGACATGGTCGAATCTCCTCTCAGGCACCAGAAAAAGCTCAAAAATGGCCGTCCCGTCCACGAACAAAAACAGGTGGGCGAAATAGCGACTTTCTACCACCGTTTCATCGCCCGGGCCGCCCACATTATGCGGCTGCTGTATGAGGCTTTGAAGGGTAAGGCCCCCATCCAGGCGATCGACTGGACGGCGGAAGCTGAGGTTGCTTTTACGGAGGTCAAGACCGCGTTGGCTCAGGCGGCCCTGTTGGCGCACCCATCGTCCACGGCTCCCATCTCCATTACCACAGACGCATCGGACTACGCCGTTGGTGCGGTGCACGAGCAGTGGGTGGAGGGCGCTTGGCAGCCACTCGCCTTTTTCAGCCGTCAGCTGACGCCCAGGGAACGCAGGTACAGCGCCTTTGACCGAGAGCTCCTTGGACTCTGGCTGGCCGTGCGGCACTTCCGTTTTTTGCTGAAAGGCCGTGAATTTACGGCTTTTGTCGACCACAAGCCGCTCACGTTTGCCATGTCAAAAGTGGCGGAGCCTTGGTCTGCACGTCAGCAGCGGCAGCTGTCTTACATCTCAGAGTTCACCACAGACATTAAGCACGTGGCTGGCAAATCGAACCTGGTCGCTGATTGCCTCTCCAGGGTCGTCATCGGGGCAGTTCAGTTGGGCCTGGACTATACCCGCATGGCGACGGACCAGGTCACGGACCCCGGCCTACAGGCCCTGAAGGAGGATAGCTTGGGGCTGCGCTTGGAAGACGTGGTTTTCGGTGACGCGGGCGTTACTCTCCTGTGCGACGTCTCCACAGGCCTGCCGCGGCCAGTTGTTCCCGCCAGTTGGAGACGCTCCGTTTTTGAGGCGGTGCACAACCTGTCTCACCCCGGCGGTAAGCCTTCGGTGCGCTTGGTGGCCGCGAAGTTCGTCTGGCGGGGGCTAAAAAAGGACGTAAGGACTTGGGCTGGTGAGTGTGTGGCTTGTCAGCGCGCTAAGGTGCACCGCCACACGAAAGCCCCTTTGGAACGTTTCCTGGTGCCGGAGAGAAGGTTTGACCACGTCAACATCAACCTAGTGGGTCCATTGCCCTGCTCTCAGGGTTTTTCCTACCTCCTCACCATGGTGGACTGTTAGGCTTCCCGAGAAGTGACTGGAGATGAGAACCCGCTATGCAAGCACTAAAACTGAGACAGTGGTGAAGTGTCAAAAAGGGCTTTATTTTGCCCACGACACTGGCAAGGAGTTGACGAAGAGCACATAGAAGGGAGTCGTGGAGCTGGACTGACCAGGAGGGGAGGCTGGACGTGGCAGGCAGAGCGGCAGGTATATGTGGATCTGGAACAGGAAAAATAAGCAGGATTAGGAAAGAATATCCTTTCACAAGGAGCATCAAAAAATCACTAGGAAAAATACTAGTAGGCCTGGACGATAGTTTACCACTGAAGAATAAAGGAAGAACTGGCGAAGTCTGAGGATGGGAACCAGGGTTTTAAGCAGGTGCAGGTGAGTAGTGGCAATCAGTGAGATGAACAACAGCAGCGGAGGTGAGTTGGCGGGAATCAGAATGTAGGTCAGCCACACCCAGCCAGGAAGACAGACAAACAGACAAACAGACAAAACAAACACAGAAGGGGAAAAGAAGGAGGAAGTACTGCAGATCCTCACATGGACAGGGCGACTCGTTGGCCGGAGGCGGTTCCTCTCGTGCCAACGTTTGGCACCCCGTCGGACATTTCCTCTGACTGGGGTTCGCAGTTCACGTCTGAGCTTTGGAACGCCGTGGCGTGTGGTTTGGGGGTTAAGCTTCACAGGACAACCGCTTATCACCCTCAGGCTAACGGCCTCTGTGAACATTTCCATCGCTCCATGAAAGCAGCACTCAGAGCCGGCCTGAAGGACGGCAATTGGGTCGACAAGCTGCCTTGGGTAATGCTGGGCCTGCGGACCGCGCCTAAGGAAGATCTGCAGTGTTCCACGGCTGAGATGGTCTACGGTCAGCCGCTGAGGGTTCCAGGGGATTTCCTCCCTGACGCGTCGGCTCCCTGGTCGGCGTCGGCGCACCGGGTTTGCCTGCAGGACGCCGCTGAGACTTTTGCTCCGATTCCCACTGCTCAACATGGTACGCAGGTGTCCCGGGTTCCCGCGGATCTCCGCTCGGCAGAGCACGTCTTCATCCGACACAATGCGCACAGGGGTCCTCTACGGCCTCCTTACGATGGACCTTTCCGGGTTTTGGAACACGGGGACAAACACCTAGTGGTCGACCTGGGTGGTAAGGCCGAGCACGTCTCGGTGGACCGGGTGAAGGCGGCCCACTTGGATTTGGGCCAGCCTGTGGTGCTAGCACAACCTCCGCAATGGGGGCGGCCCCCGGCCTTGATCCCTGTCACTGAATGCTCAGGAATGCTCCGTGCTCAGGAGTCGTGGGGGTCGACCTGTCGTTCCTCCCCGCCACGCTGACTTTGTTTATGGGTGATTTCTGGGGGGGCTTGTGTGGTGACACGTTATGGGACATAATTCACCGTTGAGATGATTGTGTTGCAACCCGGACCCGTTAGTGAGGGTACCGGGGTTGGTGTCATTCATGCTAGCTTGATTAGCAACAAGCAGATGTTACTTACCTTGTCTTCTGTCTAATGGATAATAAAGTGTGGAGTTCCATATTGAACACACCGCCTCTGACTCCCTTTCATCGGCTCTACAATATATAATATATAAACTTTGATACGAAGTTAAGATATCCAGCAGCAGTATATCAAGTAAATACATTAGCTCCACTGTTTACAGCTGTGATGAACACATTAATGGGTGAATTATTATAATCCATTGATTTAATAAATAAGATTCTAAAATGGGACAATAAGTACTCAAATTATTGTGCGTACCAAATTCAATAAAAGGCACACCAGTGACTTTTGTTACTATAAAAATGTATTCCTGGAATATCTACTTTTCTGACAGTTTTAAGGGATATTAAAATGTGTGTGGTTCAATATAATTAACATGTCATGTCATAATTAGGCACACAATTATAAAAGCAACACATTAGCTTTAGATAATGTATTATTGTTGTATGTATTATGTATTTTTTTGCTTTATGTTAGACAATTTAATTATTTTGTACATTTAAAAAAAGTACATTCTACGGCAGGTGCTCAAGCCCCCTTTGATGTCTATCTGTTCACCTGCCTCCTTTCAGTATATTATGATGCCAATACTTAATAAGCTACTTGTAACAAAGTATTTATACAATGTAGTATTTCTACTTTTACTTAAGTGAGAAATCTGAGAATGTGTTCCACCTCTGCTCCTTTCACTTTAAAAGTAAAAGAAAATACAAATTGTAATTCCTGAAAAAACAACAATAGAGCAGTATTTTAATTTAAGGATGAGTAAATATAGAAAATAAATAGTCTTATATCTCATAATCTTACAATTATGTTCCCTTAAACTTAATTTATTAACTATGACATGGATAAGCATGCAAGAAATAAGGAGTGTTCTCTTCCAGATTGATGCTTGGAGTGAACATTTTACGAGTAAACATGAGACATTTGCCAAACTTGGAGACGGACCTTATCCCACAAACCAAAATATAATGTTCCCAAATAATCCAAGATAAAAAAACATCCTGTTCAAAGAACCTCTTGTCGTGTATAATTGATAAACCTTTTTCTTACTGCTAATTTAATTACAAACAAACAATACATGAAAATACATAATAATGCAGAAAGACACAAAAATGCACTCACTTAAGATTGGATGTAGAAAAAATGTGCTGCTGTTTTTTAGACAGCAGCACATTAATGTGAGACCACAGCGCCACCTGCTGACGACAGGAGGAGATAACAAGCACCTGCAGTTAGGATGAAGCTGCTTACATTTTAGTATCAACACTTTAAATATGTAGAAATATAGTAAAACTACCACTTTAAAATTATAATTCTTAAGATGTTTTAATCAAAACACATTGTTGAGCTTTAACAATGTATTCACTCTTATTGCCTCACTGCTGTGTATAAAAGTCGTCTTTAAATTGAACTGTTTATAACTTTACACATCTATTATTCTGAGCCCTCTCTCAACTGTATTGCAAACCAAGAAATGAAAACACTGCATGTGTTGTTGTTGTTGTTTATTTGGAATAAAGTTTGTTATAGCATATTTTTAAATGGATACTTTGTCTCAAATGTCAGATATTGTGTCATGTCATTGTCACATCTTTGGTCATCATGAGTCTTGGATTTGCTCTGGTCTTTACAACAACAAACAAAGGAATGAAAAGCATTATGTTGACATTGAATTATTGCTTTCTAACTCAATCTCAAAGCACAATAGAAAGCAGGGGACACTTGTTGCGCTTGTTGACGTTGTTTCATAATTGTTAGTGTTTTGTTAGTATATTTGAAAATGACTAGGTTAGCTACGTTAGCTAGCTAGCTTACAGCAGATCTGCCATAATATCAGAAAGAATCATGCGATCACATTGTTTAAATAAGCTGAAAAAACATACATTTTAGGTGAGTTTTCAAGTGTGTCCCCTTTATAATCCCAGAATGTCAACAAGCGCTCCGGTCCCAGCTGTGTGCGTCACTTTTTAGTGTCCCCATTTCTGTTGTGTTTTGAGCTTCTTGCAGCTTTGCAGAGTTTAATTTGTGCAACACTTTTAGTAAACCCTGCGCATGTTTCTTCAAGTTGGTGAAGATGTTTCTTAATTTTGGCACATTTGTGTTTTCTTATTTTTTTTTAAACTTCAGCGCTTGTCTCCTAATGGACTTTTTTTGGCCCGTGTGTATCTCTCAGTCACCATAAAAAACTGTTGTATTATTAGAAAATGTGTGTTCATAGGGTGAGCATTATTAGACATCAAAAAGTTCCTTATATCTGCTTAAAACTATAACACAGGGTTATATATCAAAGCATGTATTGTAATTGTGTAATTAATCATGTGTGTACTGCTCATTAATGTTAAATATTGAGACTTAAAGAAAATTGGCTTTCACTGTTGGAGGACTCTAACGGGTAAAGATGTCAATTTGACCAGGAACATGTAATGGTTTCATGGACTATAGTAAAAGTCACTCAATATCAAAATATATATATATATGTATTCCCGTATTTCTTATTGTGCTGTCTTATTGTGCTCATTTATTGATGGTTATGTTGAACGTGTGAGATGAGCCTGTGACTGTCGGAGCGACGATCACACTCTCGTTTTGAGCCGACATCGTGTTGGCAGCTGGAGGTGAAGCAGCTGGAGGTGAAGCAGCTGGAGGTGAAGCAGCTGGAGGTGAAGCAGCAGCAGCAGAGGAGGAGGAGGAGGAGGAGGATGCAGCTCTGATCATCTCTGCAGATAAAACATACAGATGCACAGAATCATATTTAAGAATCTGAATCAGAATACCTTTATTTGTCCCACAGAGGGGGAATTAACATTGTTAGAGCATAAGTAAAGAGCCAAAGAGAAAGATAAAAGTATATAAATACACAAATTACAATTTACAAAATACACAAATCCAGTACCAGAAAACCGTGAAGTCACTTATTTTGCTTATATTATAAGTGCATTTAAGACACATCCACTGCACCTGCATATTTCTTCGTCAACTCCGCTGCAGCCTTCATGTTCTTCATCTTCTTCAGAATCTCAACAGCCACCTTCATGGCCATTTCTTCACCGTAGCTGCTGGTCATCTCTGTCACAGTTTTCGTCCTGCTTGCGTCCTCCAGTTTGCAAACAGCAATTGGTTTGCAGCCATCCAAGTTCTTTTGATTGAGGTACCACTTAAAATCCCGAAAGTCATCTTTGCCCAAGTCTTCCAGAGTCCCAAGCAGCAGCACATCCACCATGTCTGCTCACTGTGAAAGTAGAAAGAAGGGAATCATTTTGCAGATTAGTATTCAAAGAATAAATAATTTCTACTTCAACTTCTGTAATAAATCTGTACATTTCTGTGCAATTAGGTATAGGTCTGTATGGTGCAATTTATTTTCTGTTTCTCTGTATTAGTGTGTAGCAGCAAATGCAAGACAAAGGGAGCTTGGAAGTGCAGATAATGTCTGGTATTCCTCTCTCTGTGAGTGTCTGACCTACACCATGAGAATATTACACCACTCCCACACGTCTTAATTTTACTGGGGCTTATGTTCTGGACTATGACTGCAACTTAAAATATAAACAACCAACAAATACTGATATAAATCAGGTTTAATAATGAACTTTTTGGTTGCAGAATGTGTATTAAGTTGGGTAAACATTCACAAAGGGAACATATTAGATAGTCATCGACAATTACAAGTACACAAAAGCCATGATTTTCATATTACTAAGTGTATTCTATACTATTGCTAGTGGAGCCTGTAGCCCCCTCATCACCCCCCCCCCCCCCCCCTTCCCGCGTCCATTCGCGATGTCTCGCTGTCTCACACCCCACGCAGCAAGCAGGAAATGAACCCAGCTCACACTGTCCACTCCTCGCAGCAGCGAGCCCCGCAACGTCCCGCCAACACGGCACCCAGACCCCACGCAGCATTCCCATCTGTTTGTCCTTACTGGTGGCATTTTCTGGTTGCTAACAAACGCCATTGTAACACATAATCACTGATGTTCCGCTGTAACGGTGGTTGACTCATCAGAACGAGCTGACCAATCAGAGCACAGTGGGCTCACAGGGAGGGGGGGGGGCAGGAGCTCCAACAAGGCGTTTAGGACAGAGAGTGAATACACATACTTTACAGAGATGCTGTATGAGAAACCAATGTGAGTTTGGAAAATTACACAATATAAATCTTTGCTAGTAGACCTCAACAATGGAATTATGATCAGTAGAAATGGCCATGACATGGGACCTTTAAGGGCACTCCAGCAAGGTTGGCCTGTTCTATAGAGAGGCGAAGTCCCTCCCCTTCCGGTTGAGCTCCATGGGACCTTATTTCGGAAAAGTTATGCATTGAAGTCAATGGAGAGAGAAAGATTATCTTTCGATCCCGTTTGAATTGTGCCACGAATTACACATATGATGTTTGTCAATTTAAAAGATAATTTTACAAGTCAAAAAAATGTAAATGTGTCGTGAAACTGTGAAGTAACACTTTTTTTTGTGTGAAACCGCTCAATGAACTACATCTCCTGTCTCGCACCACACACCAAGACGGCCGTCACGTTGGCACATTTCACTTCTTTCTTTCAGAATGAGGCGAAAAGTATTAAAAGAGGTGAAAATCACTCCAAGTCTGGGCATGTTGAGAGAACAAAAGGGGAGTTAGTCGGTTCCGTAAGAGCCAGCATGCGGGACCGGGATTCTGGGATTTGTAGTCTTTCTAGTTTCGTATTTTTCATAGTCTTATATTTCAACAGTTTTACGACAAACTGTGACTTTTTTGACATGGAAATTATTATTTAAGATTGACAAACATCATATGTGTAATTCGTGGCACAATTCAAACGGGATCGAAAGATAATCTTTCTCTCTCCATTGACTTCAATACAAACTTTTTCCGAAATAAGGTCCCATGAGTCCCACCGGAAGGGGAGGGACTTCGCCTCTCTATTATAATGTAAATATATATCTGATGTTGTGCCCTCTGGTGGTCATTCAGGAGTAGTGCAGCATTCTGCAGATTGTTTTCTGCTATCATTTTTACATCCATGTTCAGCTACCTTGTATTTTCCTCTATTTCTGTTTTGAGAAGCATCGCTATTTTACTAAATTGTACTTTCACGAGAATGAAGACAACAGTAAAGAGGGTTCAACTTTACTCCTCTGACCTTCCCTGGAAGCTTGTTAGCAGTCTGTGGATTTGTGTTCAGACACACACTGAGGACAGAATACATGTAATATTGATTATGAAATTGGGGGACTCGACAAAAGGGATTCATTGACATTTCTGCCTCGGTATATTTATCTTAACTTGTAAAGTTTGTTCTGTTTTATTGCCTAATTTAATTTAAATAAGTTCGTATAGGCTATGTGGTTTAAAAATGTCTATGTGAAAGAGAGGGGGCTAAAACGTCTTTTTATTCTGCAATCACCTATTTAATGATGAACAAGAAAGAAGATTTACAGTTCTAACAGTCAAAACTGAAGCAGCAGAGTCTGGTACAAATCCTGACTTGTAGTCCCCTGTATGGGTTAAGAAAAAAAACTACATTTCCTATAATGCCGGACGACATGCATCTGAGTTATTTTTTGTACATTTTACAACAGTTTTCACCAGCTGAGTGATTTACTTTATAAAAATGATGAATGTTCTTAACTGTCAATATCTCAAAAGGATAAACCATTTAAAATGCATTATGTTATAAATATGAAAAAGTACATTATGTACACTTTATTAACTATATATACTGTAAAGGGCACGGTTTAAAAAGCGATAACCGGAAATACTTTATAACTTTATAATATAAAACTTTATGACTTAATAGGATAAACGATTTAAAAAGCCTAGATACATCTGAAAACAAACACGATGAATATCCATTCAGAGGCCGTCATTGTGTAACACAGTAAGTGTTACAACATCCCGTTTAACAAACTCCTGCTGTAATTTAACCACTCATCTGTATTCTGAAATACCTTAACCACCACAGACCACACCGGAAACCAAGAGTCCGAACAATGCAATAATGAGCAATAATAATGTAAATCCCAAAATGTCTTACCGTGTGAAAAAAGGAGCTCACTAGTACTCTCACTGCCGCGAAATATTTTACTTTCGGTTTGAGTAACAGGAAGTTCAGACTGAGAATCAGAGAAGCTGGAAGTGTCAAGTGTAGATCCAAATACATAAATACACACAATACTGTTTACATTTCTCCTCAGAAGTGTAGAGTTCTTACCCCAGCTATCAAATATAACACAAGGCATTTTATTTGGCTCATTTCCAGTAGTGTAATGTATTGATGTACATTTACTCAAGTACAGTACTTAACTACGATTTTGGGGTACTTTTACTTTACTTAACTATTTCCATTTATTGCTACTTGTATACTTTTACTCCACTACATTTTTGCAGCCAATATAGCCAACTCCTCTACATTTATTTAACAAAATTAGGTATTTTGAGGAGGCGTGTGGTGCAGTGGGTTGAGCGTTGGTGTCCAGATCAGGGGGTCACAGGTTCAAACCCCACTGCAGTCAGCATGTTGGTGTGTCCCTGGGCAAGACACTTCACCCCAGATTGCCCACAGTATTGAGTATGTAAGTCGCTTTGGATAAAAGCGTCTAACAAGTGACATGTAATTTACATATTCACATTATAAGTTAAAGGTGGGGTAGGTAAGTTTGAGAAACCGGCTCGAGATACACTTTTTGTTATATTCCATGGAATGCTCTTAACATCCCGATAGCAATGAATATCTCAAGTGCTTTGACAAAAAATCCATAAAAAAATTTCACCTGTGGAAGCCGTAGTACTGTAAAAAGCACGACCAATCATTTTAGCCGGCCCGGCTAAAATAACTGGATGGCCTACCTGCCTGTCAGCCTTCCATCTGTGCACAAACTTATCTCGTGCCCTCATTGGTCATGTGCGCGTTCGTGTGTGTTGGAGGAGGGGCTCTGTAAGGAAGTGGCAGATTTTCTCCGGTTGTGTATTTTCAAATTCTAGCGATCTCGAGCCGGTTTCTCAAACTTACCTACCCTACCTTTAATAGAACATATTATATATCTAATATATCAACTTTGATATGAAGTTAAGATATCCAGCAGCATTATATCAAATAAATACATTAGCTCCACTGTTTACAGCTGTGATGAACACATTAATGGGTGAATTATTATAATCCTTTGATTTAATAAATATGATTCTAAAATGGGACAATAAGTACTCAAATGACTGTGCGTACCAAATTCAAAAAAGGGCACACCAGCGATTTCTATTACTATAAAATGTATTCCTGAAATATCTACTTTTGTGACAGTTTTAAGGAATATTAAAATGTATGTAGTTCAATATAATTAACCTATCATGTCATAATTAGGCACACAATTATAAAAGCAACACATTAGCTTTAGATAATGTGTATTAGACACAGGTTTTTTTTTTTTTTGCTTTATGTTAGACAATTTAATTGTTTTGTAAATTTTAAAAAAGTACATTCTACGGCAGGTGCTCAAGCCCCCTTTGATGTCTATCTGTTCACCTGCCTCCTTTCAGTATATTATGATGTCATAACTTAATAAGTTACTTGTAACAAAGTATTTATACAATGTAGTATTTCTACTTTTACTTGAGAATGTGTTCCACCTCTGCTCCTTTCACTTTAAAAGTCAAAGAAAATACAAATTTGAATTCCTGAAAAGACAACAATAGAGCAGTATTTAGATTTAAGGATGAATAAATATAGAAAATAAAAAGTCTTATATCTCATAATCTTACAATGCAAGAAATAATGAGTGTTCTCTTCCAGATTGATGCTTGTCGTGAACATTTTACGAGTAAACATGAGACATTTGCCAAACTTGGAGACGGACCTTATCCCACAAACCTAAATATAATTTCCCCAAATATTCCAAGATAAAAAAACATCCTGTTCAAAGAACCTCTTGTCGTGTATAATTGATAAACCTTTTACTTACTGCTAATTTGATTACAAACAAACAATACATGGAAATACATAATAATGCAGAAAGACACAAAAATGCACTCACTTAAGATTGGATGTAGAAAGAAATGTTTTATTGTTTCCTTATAACTACAGTCAATGGTTTCTTTTAAAACAAGAGAATATAATAAGACAAGTTTGACATTAATGCAAAAAGTATCTGCATGGCTAGTAACAACTAGAAAACAAAGAAATAAAAACATTTCTTACAAAGAATCTCAAATTGAGGTCCACTTACTAGCTTTAAATATAGCTTTCGACCACGTCTCACTGTTATCCTCAGTTTGCTCAGATACAGTTACTGTATATGAACAAACCATTGTTTTCAAGGATGCACTCTTAAAATAAGTTTGAAGATTGGCTAAACTGGTCCTTTAATAGAGATGGCAGTAATAATACAAAAAATAATATTTACACTTTTAAAAACAATATACAGTGTTCTTTACATCAAGGGATAAACTAATTCCTTTGCAGTTCTGAGAGTTCAATGCACTAAAGCTAAAGAAAAAATACTAATGCAGAACCGCTGCTATAGCAATATACAGCCCTGTGTTGCTCAATAACAATACATTATATTTAAATTCCTTGAATTGATGACAACGCAGACTGTTTCCAGGAGACAGTAAACAGTGGCTAACATGGGACATACCACATACCATGGATTGTGACTCAAGTTATTAAAGTTGGCAATTTGTCATTTTGACCATGCCTTAAAAAGCAAGTTGAGTGCGTTCGAGGCGAGACTTGTTTGGTTGTATATATACAGTCTATGGTTGTACCTTAAATCAAATAGTGTTATGTCATGATTACAATTATATCAAGGGAACCGGGATTTAGGACTCGTTTCTGCACCACAATACTGACAGTATTACTGCCGACATCGCTCAATCATAATTTATACAGTATATCATGGTCAATATGATATCTCTCTTAATACAAAACAACAATGGATGACAAAGCAATTACTTTATCAGTTTGAGAACAGTATCTTCCAGTATTTACAGACTGCCCTCCTAGTAAAAGTAGTAATAGTTAACTGTTGGTAATGTGGTTCTGACTGATTCATTTTATACAACATAACTGCATAACTGTCACTATTTGCTGCCGACATTACGGCTAGAATTACCCATAATAATCACATTACTGGTAACGCCAACAATGCCATCACCATTCATGGCAACATTACCAGTAATTATCTATGATCTATTCTGACACTACTGTCAATATTTGGGGCCGACATTGCTGCCCACATTACTCCCAACAGTACTGCCAGAATTTCCAAGGATAATTATATTACTATTACCACCAACAATACCGCCAGCAAAACCACCAGCACCACTGCCAACATTACTGCCAACATTACTGCCGACAATGCTGCCCCCGTTGCCAATGATCATATTTCTATTTCCCCCAACTTTACCACCGTCAGAATTCATGCTTACATTGCTGCGAACATTACTGCCAATAGTACTGTCAGCATTACCACTGATAGTCACATTACTACTACCGCCAACTTCATCGCCAAAAATACGGTCAAAAATACTGTCAAACATATCGCCAGCATTTCCGTCCACATTGCTGCCAACATTGCTGCCAACATTACCACTGATAGTCACATTACTATTACCTCCAACCTTACCTCCAACTTTACCGCCAACATTACCGCCAGCGGCAACATTTTGGCCCACATTGCTTCCAACATTGCTGCCAATATTACCATTACCACCAGCAGTACCTCCAGGATTACCGCCTGTACCATTGTTGATAATACCGCCAAAATGACCCCTAGAATTTGGGGCAATTGGGGCCTTGGGATTGGAGGCACCAGCTGCACCATCAGCAGAGATTTTCCATCCAGTTGGAAGAGCTGAAGCAGGCGAAGAGATTGGTGGTCGAGAGACTTTTCCTTTAGCTGCTGTTTCCTCTATAACAAAATCAAAAGACATAGAGTCAGTAAGAGACACACTTTAGCAAGAGTTGAACAAAAATTGTGTACAGTAGCTGGAAGTTAAAAGTAATATATATCCTGTGAGGTATAGTGTAAGTAGGCTACACTATTTATGTATAGTACAATCAGAGGTGGGAAGTAATGGAGTACAAATACTTTGTTACTGTACTTAAGTACATTTTTCTGGTATCAGTACTTTACTCCACTACTTATTTTTTTGACAACTTTTTACTTTGACTTCTTACATTTTGAACACAATTACCTGTACTTTCTACTTCTCACATTTTCAAAACAGGTTCGTTACTTTAGTTTGAATGTGTGTTTGGTGGCGTGATCATTATTATTTAGAGTCATTGCGTGCCTATTGATTTGAACACGATCCGTGTATCCATAATTTCCTGGTCTTCTCTAAAGAAGAGGGACCAATGAAAACGTTATCATGTTGCCATTGTTCAGCATGGAAACATTCATTAGCTAACAATGACATTATTGTTCTATTAATATAAAGGGAGGTCAGGTACTCTTTAAAACAGCTGGTAGTTATGGGTACTTTTTACTTAAGTACATTTCAAAGCCCATACTTCTTTACTCACAGGGAGGGTGGGGGCTGGAGCTTTGGGAGCTACAACGAGCCGTTAAAGGCAGAGTGAAATTCAGTGAATACAAGTAGTTTACAGAGATGCTGTATGAGAAACCAATGTGAGTTTGGAAAAATGCACAGTATAAATCTATTTTAGTATACCTCAACAATGGAATTATGATCAGTGGAAATGGCCATGACACCTCTCCTTTAAGTCTGGTCTGTTCTCGCTCTCTCGCGGAAATAGGCAGGGTTGCCCTCTATCTCCGTCATTATTTGTTTTTTTGCATAAGCTCTCTTTGTATGCAGATGACCTTTTACTGTATATCTCCAGCCCATTGTCCTCCCTTCCTATAATTCTAAGCATTTTAGAGCAAATTAAGAAGCTATCTGGCTACAAACTCAAGCTCCAGAAAAGCGAATACTTCCCTGTTAACACCCTTGCTGAAAAACGTCCCAAGGCTCTCTTTCCTTTTAAGAAGGTCTCAGAGGGATTCAAATACCTGGGTATCCATATTACTAAATCGTTTACAGAGCTTTTTGCCAAGAACCTTA